CGAGGCCCCGGCTTCTGCGCGCCGGCCCTGGCGGGGCCCAGAGGACGCCGCTCGGAGGTGCGTGCGGGGGGTGCGGGGCGCGCTCGCCGGCGCGGGGCGCGGGGACCGGACCCGCCGGGCTGCGCTCAACTTGCGGGCCGCTCCCCCGGGGCGCCCGCTCCTTTGTACGCGCGGGCTCCGGCCCCGCGGTGCGGACCGCGGTCGGGGAGCGAGCCGCAGCGCCGGCGCGGTCGCCGCAGCCCGGCCGCAGGACCGGGGACCCAGCCTCGGCTCACCTCCCCGAGGGCGAGAGCCGGGGACAACTTGGCGTCACCCGCGGGGAGACGTCTGTCGTCACCGACCGGCTCCGGCTACGTTAACTCAGTCCCGGCCAACGCCAGCACGGGGGAGCGGACAGCAAGTGCGCCCTCAGCAACCGGCCCGGCGATACCTGGTTTTGGTCAGAGCAGGTCGTAGGCGCTTTGGGTTCTTCTTAGAGCTGACTCGGTGTGGATGGGGTGGCGGTAAGGAGGAAGAGTGAGCCCCGAGAGAAGAGGGCGAGATGAACAGCACCCCCAAACCGAGTCATCCCCGGAGAAACGGGCGCCTTGGTTATTCTCATTGGTTCTCCCAGGAACTTCAAAATAGTCCCAGAAACGTTCCTTTTGTCTGCGGTTTCACTTCTAAACTTTAACACTAGATGGCTTTCTTATGACAGGCATTTAGTCCACTGCCCACTTGAGTTTCCTGCGTCTGCAGTCTCTGCTGGGATTTATTTATTTATTTAACGTCTTACAAATTGGAATGAAAGGAAGAAAGTATCCCAAACTGCTGCTTTGTTTGGAATGTAGCGCTCCCCCACACGGCTTAAACCGGCTGGCTTTGCAAATACGGGAAAGTGGGCTTTGATCTTTACCACCTACAGGCACATATGACGGAGCAGCTCGCTTTGCCCGGCTCTGCATCGCGTTTTGAGTTATTTGGAGAATGCAGAGTTCTTGGGTAGGTTTTGGTGATTACGCTTGGCTTTCTACCTGTGCTGTTTACCCGTGGCTGGGTTTAGTTTGAGGGTTCAGGAACAGGCACAGATGGGATCTGTTGCAGGAAAGAACAGTCATCTTCAGTTTTGGGTGCATGCAGGGCTGTTCCTGCCTGAGGGTTGACCGGCAGCGTTGGAGGAAGATCCTCAGTCCAGTGCGTCTGCCTGAGTCATACCGAGGATTGTGTCATGGCCCTCTCCGTTTCCTTCTCCCCTGAGGAGATCTGGTTCTTCTTTCCCGGCACAGCTCTTTAACGATCACTACAGTTGTCTCTGGTTAAGCGATCCAGCGGCCACCGCGGAGCCCTCCGCTTGTGGGGGTCGGTGGGTTGGGAATAAACGGAGAAGCTTGGGTGTGCTGCACACCCCTCACGGAGCTCCGTTCCCAGACCCACTTACTGCGACCTCAAACAGTCGCCACTCTACTGTTACCACTCCCAGATAGTCTCACCGAGCTGCCCAGGCTGACCTCACACTGGCTTTGAACTCGGGCTCTTCCTGCCTCATGGGTGGCTTGGATGACAGGTGTGCCCTGACACACCCCAACTCACCTTCAGTACTTTTGTTCCAGAAGTACCCTGAGAGAGAGCCCAATTCTTGCCCTGGTAGGCAGGCTTATTAGCTGAAGAAATTGGAATTTGGCTTTACAGTTGTCATTTCTTGTGTTTCTTGCTTGGCTTAAAATATGACACGTTAAATCTGTATGTTCTAAATTAGAATGCATTCATAAATAGCTGAAGGGGAAAAGCCCCAACTAGGCAGACATCTGGGAAGTGGGGAAGGTCCTGATCCTCAGTACCCACCTGCCACCTATAGATGGGGCGAGGAAGCCCTGTAGACAATTGCTCCAGAGGATGAAGAGAGCAAGTGGAGCGCTAGGGGGTGGGGGTGGAGCTCCCGCTGGGCGCCGGGCCTGGGAGCTGCGCTGTCTGGCTGGAGTGCATGATTTTTAGAACAGGGTTTTGATGTTGGAAAGCGTTAGGCTTTCGGCAAGAGCATTAGTTTCTGTGCTACGTAATTTTTTATCATCTTGGTCAAAGCTGTGGAAGGTGCACCCCCACCCCCCACGCACTGGTACCGTTTGGCATGGGCTGTTTGATGCCCGGGCTCAGTCACCTTTCTGTAGCTTGGGGAATCCTGTTCACCTGAGATGAAAGGGGAGTTGGTTAGATCTGACATCTGTTTCTGAAATCTAGGAAGCGTTAGCACAGATGGCTCCACGGTGCTGTGCTCAGCCTCACAACTGGCCTGGGAACTGTGCTTCCGTTCACTTGGCTCAGCCCCTCGCCTTTGCCCAGCAGTGGTTGCTGAACCCAGCCTTAGGCAGCCTGGAACTGACTGTGTGACCTTCTCATCTCTGCCTGGGGTGGCTTCAGGTCTTCGCAAAGACACAGCGGATTTGAGGAAAACGGGGCCTGTGCTTGTTAACTTGAATGAAATATGAAGTCAGTCCTTAAAGAATACAGAAGAACCACATTCCAGATTTTCTTCCTGTATCACATGGCATTTCTCTGTTGGGTGAGAAGGAAGAAGGGTAGGAACCTTGAGGGGGAACCTCTCTGTAGTTCCCAGGTGATTTTGGACAAAGTTCCTTTTGACTCCAAAACTGTAGGTTCCTTTCTCTCTTTTTTCATTTCATTTTAAGTGTGTGTGTCTGTATGTGTGCATGGCATGGTCATGTGAAGGTCATAGGACACCTTCTAGAAGTTGATTCTCTTCTTCCGTCGTGGGCTTCTGGGACTGAGGTCAGGCTTGGCCTTTACCCGCTGAGCCATCCTGCCAGCCCTTGTTGTTTCTTCATTGTTTAAGATACGCGTATTAGAGCAAAGAAATGTCTGCCTGCCAGGGTGGTTTCGACTTCCCATGATTATGAGCTCTGCTAGATTCCGTGTATTGTAAGTCTGTGTATGGGGAGCGTCCTTATATGGATTTATAGTTCCTAGGCTTACCTTTGAAATCAGTGACTCAGGAACTGCTTTTCCTGCCAATTGCATTTAGCTACAACCCTTTCTAAGCAGAGGTAACCACGCGCTGGGAGTTCAGATGTCTCCCAACTTCATGGGTAAATTGGTGTGATGGCCTCTGAGTTCAGAGTGACAGGCGTGACAAGAGCTGGAGGAGGTCAGAGCTGGCGCTGCGGGGCTTTCCTTCCTGCCGGAGTCCCTCTGTAGTGCTGGCTGCTCCTGAGACCTGTTTCCTCTGCAGCTTTATGCAGAAAACTGAGCAAGGGGAAGGGAGACAGGCTGGGAGCGGGCGTGACTGTCATATCAGCATCTCAGTGCCAGAAAGGACTTCAAGCTTTACACTGTTCCCATCATCTGTAAAAATGTAGAAAATGAGACCAAGCACTCTGTACTCTGCTGAGCCCAGCACTGGGGAGCAGGCAGGAAAATCAGGAGTTAAAGCTACCCCCCCTACATAAAGAGTACAGGGACAGCCGGGGCTATTTGGGATGCTGTCTCACAAAATCAACACAAAAGCAGATTTTAGGATGCTAGACTTATATGCATTTGACATTGCTACCCTGAGCACATTATTTAAGTATGCCTGTGTATATTAATTAAATTAACTGTAGCCATTTTAACTATTATCCTTGTATTTAATCAAGATAACATAAAGCTAGATACAGCCCTTACCTGTGATCCCAGTGCCGGGGAGGCTGAGGCAGGAGGATTGCTACGAGTTTGAGGGCAGTCTGCACTACAGAGTTGGGACTCTGTCTCAAAAGAGAAGAGAAGAAGAAAGTAACACCAAAAGAGATGTGTATTGGGTCAGGCCCTTCATGGTGTGTGTGAGTGTGTGTGTGAGAGAGAGAAAGACAGAGACAGACAGACAGACTTAACTGGAGAGAGCGTTTAGGTACCTCACACATGCCCCTCTGCCCACACACACCTCTTCCCTTTTCATAGGACAGTGAGAACGCTGCTGAGGATTGTTTTAGAGCACAGCCCACCTTACCCACATTTCTCTGGGGCTTAGATCCCACCGTGGGGTTCCTGACCACACTGAGAACTGAACCTGTGGCCTGAGCACAACCAGGCAGGTGCACTGAGCCAGGCACCCCACCAGCCCCACTCAGCTCGCTTCCAAAGGCAGTAGTTATCTGGCAGGGCCTGTGGACATGGGGTAGGATACCACTCTTCGATGTTTTCAGCACCCAAAAGTTCTAGATTTTTATTTGCAGTGCTTGGGCTTGAACTCTGGTTTTACACGCGCTAGAGTCTGCCACTGAGTCAAACCTGCTCTTCTTTTAATGCTTTTATTTCGAGACAAAACAAGTTGCCCCGGCTGACCTTGAGCTCATTTACTAGCCTATGAGAGTCTTGAACTGACTTGGGGTCCTTCAGCCTCAGCTTTCCAAGGGGAGGGAAGACAGAGCTGCACCACCAGGCCTGACGTTTGGAAGTTTCTTGAGCTCCCTGTTCATTGTAATGTCACCTCTCTGGGGCCATCAGAACAAATGCTCTCCAGCAGAGCGCTCGGCCTTCCTAATGCTGTGCCCGTACTGCTCCTCTTCAAGGTGACGGTGTGGCGACCCCACCATAAAGTTACGCGTTGTCCCTTCATGAGTGTGCTTTTGCTGCTGTTAGACATTGTAATGGAAATATCTGATATGTGACCCCACAGGCTGAGAACCCCAGCTCCAGAGAGACATTTCATCTCTGCCGTGAGCTTGTTACAGTGAGCCCAGGCGCCAGAGCCCTTCATTCTGCCTGGCGTTGAGCACACAGAGTAGAGCGGGGCGTTCTGAGGCCCCGGGCCTGCTTGCTCTGTCTGTGTTCATGGCTGGCCCTGCTACTGTCCTGCTGTGCGCCAGGGGCTCACACAGGTGCTACTGTCCTGTCCTGTGACAGTCACTGTGCCACACTGTTCCCTTGGAGTTAGCTCTTCCTGGAGTGTATTCTGGAATTTGGTGCTGTTATCACCTTTGCCATTCCTCTCAAAGGAGTGCTGCCTGGGGCGGGGAGTGGAGATGCTTGTCCCCATGTCTGGCTGGGTTTGAGCCTGGGACCCACGTGAAGGAAGGAAAGAACCAACC